ATACTTTCTCAAGGATTGGTTAACGATGATGGGAAGTCACAATTAAAAGAAATAATTGGTATATTTTTTTTTATTAAATACTACTAAGGATTAAAATTTCCCTTTGTGCTCAGAATGATCAGAATTTTTAGAAACTAAGTCAAACAAGCATAATCGGCATAGAAATTCTTATTTTTTTTACCATTTTATTATATATTTATTAAATACATCTATTATTATATTCAAATGAAACTATCATCATATAAAATACATAATGATTGCAGAGTAAGTAAAGATAATCAAATCAGTACTAATAATAGAATATTTAATATAATCGATTAGGAAATACGGGTTTAAGAAGTAAATGTTATCAATTTTTTCGATACAGAAGAATTTTATGAATTTTTTGTGAAATTGATTGTTATTAATATGGTGAAGCAGAAAAGCAATTGTATATCAATGAGAGAAGCTTGCTACAACTACAAAAAATTTTCTCTTATCAAAAACCAGAAGATATTGGATTGGTTTTATGTTTTATATGATTGAATGTGAATAGAATATGCACTTAAAAATAGAAAACATATTATAGAGGCATTAATAAAAGTCTGTAAAATTTATAATTGGATTATGTGGATGTGGCTTTTGTACATTAATTTGATGCAGACACTTCTACCGATCAAATAGTTAGAGGATTCAATTAGATAATAGAAGATGGCAAAACATTTTATTGGGATACAGGTAATTGGAATGCAGCCTAAATCTAAGAAGCCATTAATTACGCTGATACTCATGGACTTATTAGACCAATAGCAGAACAAGGAGAATATTATATGCTGTAGATGAAATAGTTTGAAGTATATTTAGTAGGTGTAATTAACATACTACTATTTATAGTCCACTTTGTGGAGGATTTTTGACAGGGAAATATTTGGAAGTAATACAGGAGGATAATAGATGTGCTAATGATAATGAATGGATGTCCAAAGAAAGTGCTAAGAATAGATGGCTATTGAGATATAGTTTGAATACTTGTAATAGATTTAATAGAAACGAATCCCAAGAATTAAAAAGGTAAAAATGATGGTAGATTTAGTAAAAGAATTAAATGTAAAAACAGCTCAATTAGTTTTTAAACTGGGTTATGAGAAACAAGAATATTAGTGTAGCCAGAACAGGAGCAAGAACTGCTGGATAATTAGAAAAATCTTTGAAAAGTTTTTAATTATTGAAGCTATTTGATGAGAAATTGGAGATTATTTTTGAGAATGTTACAAAATAAGATTAAAATCATAAAATATTTTAATAGAATAAAAAGAAAAGATAAATGTGATATAATATTTAAAAATTATAGATACCATATGATTATATATTTGAAGAGAATTATTTTTGTTTTAGTTATAATCTGTTGGCATTGACTTCCAATTATCTTCTGCCTTCTTCCTTGGCTAATATAATTTATTAACATCCTATTTATACAAAATTAAGCCTTAAGTGGTTTAGCGATATGAGCCAATTGTTCTTTCGAATATTCTAATCATTTATACATCACTTCATTACAAAAGTATAGTCAACTCTCAAGAGACCAAGATGAGGAACTATTCTAATGGCAACATTTTCTATAAAATAGTGCCTCTTGCAGTTGGTGTCATGTCACTGATATAATTTTTATAAATTAATTGTCTCATTCATAAATATTTTTCACACTATCTTACAATACAATGTAAGTTCCCATTGGTATTTTTAAAACCTCATACTTAAACCATTCATCACATTCGATAGGTGATATATTTTTTGAAGTCAAAAAAACTTCAAAAAATTTAAAACGATACGAACAATTGGCACATTCTACTTGGGATTTCGTAGAACTTTAATTAAGAACTACTCCATCTTTTTTAGTTGCTTCGTTTGAGATAACTCTCTCTATTTTCAAAGAAAACATGGATTTAAAAAACATTATCATTCATGATGTCGCGGTTATGGCCTGTTGAACCCTACTTTCTAGAGCGAGTAAGGAAATTGGCTTCTCTAAGGAAGCGGTTTGGCTTGAAAAGGACTTCCTTTAGAAGGGGTCCTTATTTCATTAAAGTTTTCGCTTGAAGCGAAAATTAAAAATTTTATTTTTATAAAAATGCAATTTAATTAAATATAATTATATTTTTATTAAAATATTAGTTTAATAATATTATAAATAT